TATACTAACCATTTGTTCTCAAGTATGCACTGCTAATTCGAGGAAGAAGATTTGGGGATAAAATAAATAAGGGGTTCAGGCTACAGAATTAGGGATATCTGATAAATTAAAGGACAATTGCGACGTTTATATTAAAAATGCCATAAATGAACTATTCTATTGCTGTTTTTTACGAAAACACCACTAAGGAACTATTCTATTGCATCGTTTATTACAAAAACACCACCTAATAACAACTCTATTGCAGTGTTTATGTCAAAAACGCCACTAAAGTATAACTTTTTAGCGGTGTTTTTTACCAATACCAAACGCCACAAAATTTAGAGTATTTTACAGTGTTTCCTTAAAAAACGCCACTAAAATATTATTTTTTAGCGGCGTTCTCGGATACAAACGCCGCAACAGTAAATCTATAACGGCATTTTTGTATACAAACGCCGCTAATAACCTTTTATTTACATAATAATAGTTCATTTTACATTTTTCATTTCTTCTCTACATCTACTAAATTCACTGATATATGTAGCTTTATATAAGTAACAATAACCATACATTTGAATTAAGACGTAAGGTATGCATAAAAATATTTAACAACATAATACATTATAATTTAGAAACATTAAGGTTATGCATAAACAGTCTTCACCATATTGTTCAGTAGAATTTAGTTTTGGTCATTTGTGGGGAAATGATGTAGGAAAGTTGTTTTCCTTATTTGACGACGCATCATTAAGTGTTTCGTCCTTGCAAACTCTATATGGATAAACTCTTCATCCATTTCACCAAATAAATCTCATATCTCCGGTTCACCAAGAAGACTCCTTGCGCGCTTCAGTACTTCACTTGAAACAGATAACGACCTTCCACCTACAGTATGAAACTTGATTGTAGGTGGCTTAGGAACTGAATAAAAATTAAAATAAATTTAAATAGATGATATAAATGTTTACTTGGAGTAACAGTAGAGGCAACTTCATCTTCATTGAGGATAGATACTGCTTTTGCAATTGAAGATTCTTTCAACGCCACAGAGTTACCAAATTCAGTTCTAAACATCGGGTATTTATCCACTCCTCTATCATCGTTCTCAATAAGCTTCGAAGATCCTACATACGTATGATCTATGAAATTTGACTGAGCGTAGAAAAACAAATTATAGCAGCTGAAAGATTCATAGATTATTACCTTGAAGAAGGAGATCAACCATGGAAGGGTATGGAGCAATAGGAGTTCATTTCGGGTCATCATCGAGTTTCGATGGCGAGACCAGATCGATATCCTCCCAACGATAATTTGAACCATCGTCAGAGCAAATACGCCACGTAGACATTCCGACGATAATTTATCTTAGTCAAGGCAACACCTGCTCTTTTTTCTCAAATACGTTAGATTTTTGGGTTTTCCCCATTTTCATAAGACCAAAAAAAATGAAAAAGATCATTAATGATAAGAGGGATCAAACCGTGCAATTGTGTTATAGTTCGTCGGTGAGAGACCCAATTTGGTCGCCGGGACATACAAACGACGACGACGCTTGGAATTGTTTGAGAGTTGTTGTTGTACCAGAGAAGAAGCTTTGAGGGAAGAAGAGTTTAAATGATTTTAGGGTTCAAGTAGGAGAAAAGAGAGGACCACGTATTTAACATTTTACGGCGTTTATACAAAAAACGCCACTATTGATTACACTATTATGGCGTTTGTCTAAAAATGTCACTATTGATTAGTACTATTGTTGTGTTTGTCTAAAAACGCAACTATTGATTATAATTATTGCGGCATTTTAGGAATAAACGTCGCTATATGTGTAATCTATTACGACATTTGTGGTATAAATGCCGCTAATTTACCACTCTATTGCGGCGTTTTTACAATAAATGCTGCTATTAATTAACTATTATATGGCGTTTGTCTATAAACGACGCTAAACTATTCTTCATTGCGGCGTTTGTTGGAAAAACGCCATTATAAACCACCCTATTGCGACGTTTTTACAAAAAAAAACGGCGCTATATGTCAACTCTATTGCAGCGTTTTTATAACAAACGCCACTAAAGTATCAATTTGTGGCGCTACGATTGTAAACGCTGCTATATGTTGAACTTTTGTAGCGTTTTCTCTCCAAACGCCGCTACATAACAGTTTTGCTGTAGTGCTTGCCTAATCCATCAGCCATGTTCTTTTATTCGCCAAAACCAATTTAATTAATTGGTTTATTATTATATTAATAAAGATTACATGGACAGTTCTATGATCTTATGGTCAAAGATTACATCAAAATTTCCCAAGAAAATTGCATCCAAACTCTCCACTACCCAAGAAAATTGTATCCAAACTCTCCACTAAGTTCCCTTTTCCTTTTTTCTAATATCTTGAAAGTTAAGAATCCAGTTAGTGTAAATTTAACCATGCTTTATCAATTATTTGGACTTACAATTAATTATGGGTTTTCTTGAGAATTTTTTATAATTATTTTATGATGCTCAAACAAATGAATGTTGCATTTGTTGTTAGGATACACATCATATTATTTATTTGCATTAAAAACTATAACAATTTGAACCCATCAAATGACCTCATTAATTAAAAAAATATTATTTATATGAGATTATGGGCGTGAACAACTATGTCTCCAAGATGTATGTGCATTTATTGTCAATTAATTAATAAAATTTTGAACATATAATATCTTGTAAACACTCCGTACTAATACAAAAAATTAAAATTATGATTCAATATAAGGGTTAAATCACTGTTTTGGTCCTTTTACTATGCTAAACTTTGTGATTTTGTCCTTATATTTTTATTTGGTATAATTTAATCTCGTATTTCAATAATGTTATTAGTATAATTAATGGAACTATTAATTTGGATTAACTAATAACGTCGTAATCGTGTCGATTCTTCGTTATCAGTATAATTAATGGATAATTTGGATTAACCAATAATTTAATCTTATACTTCAATAATGTCATTAGGGTGCGTTTGGTTCACAGAATGTACGATTACCAGTGAGAATGTAAGATTACCAAGGAATAGGATTACTGGAATGTTGTATTTTGTGTTTGGTTGGTTTAGCAAGAATGTAAGATTACCATGTTTGGTTAAAGGAATAAAAGATTATTGGAATGTATATTTGACCAAATTATTGTTATTATATATTTGTTTTTTAACAAGTTGGAAAATATTTATATATTTTCTTTAAAATATTTAAATTCATAAAATTTATATATTTTTTTACAAAATTGAAAATATAAAAAGGTTTAATGAAAGGGTAAAATTTTATTTTAACCCATGAACTTCATATAAAATTTTAATTATAAACTTTTTTTGTAAATCTAAAATAGTTTAAGGATAAATTTGTAATTTAACTTTCGTAAAATTTTTACTATTCAGTGACATAAGAATTTTTTTAAGGGCATTTTAGTCCAAAACGCTGGTAATCCAACAATACCTAACGAAAGGGAGGTAATGTCATTCTCAGTAATATACCCCAAAAAATCCACTATTGGTAATTTTACATTACCGGGAATGAGATTCTCATGCTAACCAAACGGGGGAATGTGGATTTCATTCCCATGGGAATCCCACATTCCCCCAACCAAACGCCCCTTTAAGGGGTGTTTGAATCAAGGAATGTGGGATTCCCATGAGAATGAAATTCAAATTCCCATGTTTGGTTGGCTGTGAATCTCATTCCCGATAGTATTTTATTACCAATAGTAGATTTTTTGAGGTATATTACCGGGAATGTCATTACCTCCCTTTCCTTAGGTATTGTTGGATTACCGACGTTTTAGACTAAAATGCCCTTAAATTTTTTCCCAAAAAATGTCATTATTTTGTCGTTGAATAATAAAAATTCTACGAATGTTAAATTACAAATTTATCCTTAAACTATTTTAGATTTATAAAAAAAGACTAATTAAAATTTTATATGAAGTTCAGGGGTTAAAATAAAATTTTACCCTTTCATTAAACCTTTTTATATTTTCAATTTTGTAAAAAAAATATAAATTTTATGAATTTAAATTTTTTTAAAAAATATATAAATATTTTTCAACTTGTTAAAAAAACAAATATGTAATAAAGACAATTTGATCAAATATACATTCCAATAATCTTTTATTCTTTTAACCAAACACAATAATCTTACATTCCTGCTAAACCAACCAAACACAAAATACAGCATTCTAAGTAATCCTATTCCCTAGTAGTCTTATATTCTCACTGATAATCTTACATTCTGTGAACCGAACGCACTCTTAATATCATCTTCTCTAACATACACGAGATTTCTTCGTTGTGGGTCCCCGTCACATGGCAATCCTAAATGGATGTTGATCGATCGATGTGGTCTAAACAATGGAAAATAAATTAAATAGTACAACTGGATAATGATTGGATTAAAAGGTAGAAGAAAATAGAAGTACGCTAATTGGATTCAGGTTTAAAAATTAGATCTTTCAAAATAAATTATTCTATTACAAGATTGTTAAAGAATAATATTTCTATGTAGAGTATGTATGTATAGAATAGAATTGGAAATAAGCAATGCAGAGAGAGCCTTAGCTTTCAGTTTACAGATGCATAAAACACAAGGGAAGTGTTTGTGGATTGGATAAACCAGAAACAAGATCAAACGGAGTTACTACTGGAAGCAAAGATCCATTTGTCTTCAAACTTGTTCCCTTCTTAAATTAATTCTTTTACTTTATTTTAATGGGTTTTAGTTACCACCTTATGCGCCTCTTGCAAAACATGCCATGATTCCATTTAGTTGGATGTTAGACATTATCGCTTCCAAAGGCTTTAACTGTTGAGTTAACAAGACACAGGCGTAGGTACCCAAAAAAATAAAAGTGAACTGAAAGCTAAGAGACAATGAGACAAAGAAGACAGAAGAGCTGGGGAGCGTGCAAGAGAGAGACAATGCAGAGCAGAAGCAGATAAAAACAAAGGAAAGCCAATAGGCAACCCCAAAATTCTTGACATTAGTTCTCTCACAGGGTACATTGGTGTTGATTTACAAACCTAAAACCCAGACATAAACTAAATAATATTCCTGGGTTTTTGGGAGAGTGAGAGAAGAAAAATATAAGAGAAGCAATGAAGCAGCTTCACCTTAATCATCTTCTCCATTAACTAGCCTTATTGTTATCAGTCTCCTTCAACAATGGTAGCTTTTCTCATTCTGTGTCTGAGCATCGATGTCAGAGAGCGGAAAACAACTTCTTCACAAGGAATAGTGAGCCCTTTGTCGTGACCGAAACCAAACTCTTCTTCCGCTAGATGGAGCAAGGTCTGGAACTCGGGTCGGGTCAAGAAAGAGATGGGAACGATGTATCTGCTCCTGTTTTCCCCCACATATACAACGAAGTGGCCTTTGGGGACGTCCACGGGGATTCCTTGTTCATCGCAGCTTTGTTTCTTTCCTAAGCTGGAGCATCTTTTCAGGATTTGCTTCATCACTGCCGCTTGAGCCAATTTGTTTGGTTTCCTGATAGCCATTTCGCTCTTCTTTTGAGACTGTAATAACACTAAACTCGGTGGGATTAAATGAGCAAAGAGAGAATGGTTTAGAGGAGAATGAAGAGTAATGCGTGGGGGGGGGTATATAACTGTATATGGTTGGGTTATTGAAAGCGAGAAACGAATGCATGTGGGGTTGTGGGGACAGAAGAACAGACCCCATGGGTGTTTTGGGGTCTGTGAGACCACATAGGACATGCTTGAAGGAGCTTACCCCCCCTCCCCACCCAAACCAAAAAAAAAAAAAATTGTTGTCCTCCCTTAGGACATCATGTCCCTCCGTTCTCTATCTGGTAAACGCGTTTTTAATCGTATCATGTTGGTACAATAGTTCAACAACGGATATTATCGCAATGAATTATGATTTATATTTAGAATAAAATAAATTGGGAATTGCAAAAATAATATCATAGCTTCACCCATAATGCTACTGTACTTTAGTACTTGACTTGACTCTTGGGGAGAGGTAGGCCGCCCACTTCAATTGCCTATGTTTTCTAATCTGAATTGATATGTTTTACCCCTTTTTTTATGGAACTCTGTTTGTTAAGGGTAACAGGGATTTCTTATCGACGTTCTCTATTATTGGCGTTTTTAGTTTGTTCTGGGTACGTGTTCTTTTTTATTATTATTATTTTGTGTTCCTTCGGTTGTTATGCGGCCGTGCTTTTATGCCCTTCCGATGTGGTTTTTCTTATACCTTCGTTTGTCATGTCTGTTGTCTCAGTGAATTTCTAGTTTTCTTTGATAAAAAGATCAGTTACCTTTGGGGAAAATAGAAAACTGCAGTAAAAAATTCATCGACATTAGCAGCAACAGGTAATTTATTGTCATTGAATTTTTGCTGTTTGGGATGCTTATGTTCAAGTTTAGAGTGATGTTGCTTTTATCATCCATTCCATTTTCTAGTTCAAAGCTTTGAAAGTCAAATCTCAACCCAAAAGTTGAACATTTAATCGAAAAGATTGATAACTGAGATGTTAAAAAAGTATAAATACAGTATGAAAAAAATGAAATAATTAAAATATTTTTTTCATTCACTGCTGAACAAGGCTGAAAAAGGGAAAAAAAAGGAAAAATAAAATTTAGGGTAAACTACTTATTTGGTGTTACACTAATTTTTATGTTTTTATTTTAATCACCTAACTATTTTTTTTTAAAATCATATATAATGTTACGCTTTGTTTATATTTTCTGCCGTTAAATTTGACCTCTCTTATTTGTCCTATCCATGAACGTACTCTCTAAATTACTTAACAAGGATGCTCAAAGAAGATTATTTGGTTATCACCCTCGTTGCAAAAAAATTGAGTTAACTCATCTTAACTTTGCTGATGACTTACTTATTTTCTGCAAAGGAAATGTGGAGTCTGTTGTGGGTGTTATTAGCGTTTTAGAGCAGTTTTATGAAATTTCTGGTCTCAAACTAAATGCTCACAAATGTGAATTCTTTGCTGCTGGAATTTCACCAAGTAAATCTGATGAAATAAAAAGATTTATTGGTTTTAACCAAGGTTGCTTGCCAGTTAGATATTTGGGTGTTCCCTTGGTATCGAGGAAGCTTTCGGATAAAGATTGTGTGGCTCTTATTGACTACATCAGGGATCGTTTACACAAGTGGTCTAGAAGACATTTGAGCTATGCTGGTAGATTAGAACTTATTAAATCTGTTCTGTTGAGCATTACAAATTTCTGGTGCAGACAGCTTATTCTGCCACAATCTGTGCTTAGCCGAATTGAACAGCTATGTTCGCGTTTTTTCTGGAAAGGTTCAGACAAGTCTGCTACTGGTGCGAGAGTAAGCTGGGAAAAGCTTTGCCTCCTTAAATCTGAAGGAGGGCTTGGACTTAAGGACATCAAATCCTGGAATAATGCTTGTATGATGCATTTGATCCGAAATTTACTAGCGGGTGAAGGTTCCTTGTGGATTGCCTGGATCAAAAATTATGCAATCAAGGATTCCGATTTTTGGAATATGAACGATTCTATTAATACTACTTGGAGCTTTCGACGCTTACTTAGAATGAGACTCCAAGCTGTCCATGTGCTAACATCTGGTGTGCAGAAAATTAAGGATATTTGACTACTGATTCGAAACAAAGGGGTAAAAGTGGCGTGGCACAAACTGATCTGGTTCCCTCTCCATATTCCTAAGTTTAGTATTATTGCATGGATGGCCTTATTAGACAGACTCCCAACTAAAGACAGACTGAAACATTTTGGGTTTGATATCGATGACAAATGTGTGCTTTGTAATGACTCGATGGAAACTAGAGATCATTTATTCATTCAATGTCCTCTGGCTATTTCTCTATGGGATGCGGTTATCATTCTCAATGGCATGCGAATGACATCACGTACATGGGGAAATCACTTAGCTTGGGCTTGTGATGCTTGGAAAGGTAGATCCTTGCTCACTACAATTTTGAAATTAGCTTGGACAACATTTATTTACACTGTTTGGGAGGAGAGGAACAAGAGGCTATTCCAGGGATGCTCACGGAATTTTGAAGCATTACTCTATGCTGTAAAACACACTGTTGCTATCCAACTAAGGGGTAGAAGTATTAATAGGAATGATAGTGTTAATACTATGCTTTGTAATCATTGGGGTATTGAATAGCTGAATTCTGTTCTGCTGTAAGTAGATACTGTTTGTATTCTTGAACAAGCTGTTTTTATACAGATATTTGGGTAATAAAATCGAATTATCCAAAAAAATAAATAGTAATTTAGCATAATATAATAACAATTTTAATGAGAGGAAATGTTATCAAATGCAGATGAAGGTGACACTCCCAAGGCCAATTCCTCCCCCCCCCTTCTTCTTCTTTGTATCACTGATTGGTTTACATCTTCAGAGGACGATAATGTTAACTCTACCCAAGGTTTATCAATCCACTTGTCACTCTCTTTTCTAAAATTTTGAGCCTCTGCTTCTTTGAATCCGTTGCAGCGATTCACATGCATGAATGTACGTGCTTGTTTAATTTTATTTTTATTTTTACTTGTCAGAGTATATACGTGCTTGCATATACATGATTGTTCTGCAGGTTTTTCATCATTTATTTCAAAAGTTTTAATTATATGGTTTTTGTCCCACCTGCAACACTCCCCTTTATCTTGCATCATCGATAACCCCACAAACTCAACACAATTCTGTTCCTTCCCCCCCCCCCCACTTGGCTGTGTTGTGTATATATCCAAGGCACTTGCCATGTTCCAAGGTCGAGAGAGCGCCGGAGCGGGTCTTCATTAATTTCTACCAAATTAAAGCGTGCTCTTGTCAATGCTTTGTTACGGCTACGTACGTAGGTTCTGCCCAATTGACCCTCTTTAATCACATTCATTTTATACTTTTTAATTAGTTAATTGATGGGGCCGTGGTCGTTAAGGTTACATGCACCTTCGTTGTGATGCTTGAAAGTTGACAAGAGAATATGATTTATATGTAAATACACAAAAGATGGAAGGCGAAATAAAAAAATATTATAATTTAACTCAACTTATAATTGATAATGAAATTTAATTTTACTGTAATTATAGTAGTTTACAGGGACGAAACTAAAATTTTAGTTCAAATGGGTAAAGTATAATTAACGATAAAAAATGAGAAGTAAAATAAAAATAAATCAAAATTTAAAGACCTAAATAGGTAATTGTCTCTATATTATTTAATGATAAAAAAATTGGTGGGAGTGGGGAAGTGACCCCAAGCTATAACATACCTCTATCCGTTGTAGTCAAAGATTACTTCGTAATTAAGTTTATTTAATTAATAAATATATTTTTTAGATAAAAATTCCTATAGAATATGAATTATTAGTGATTAATATTTAATTTTATAAATATCAAGTTTTAGTATAGATATTAGATTTTATGATACATAAAATATCATGTATTTATATTATTTATGATCTCTACACTTATAGTGGATTATTGTTCTTCTCGATCGTCGAGGTAAATAAGACCAAACCCACATTAACTCTATTGCCTCTTGTGTATGTCTTATTTATATTAATTTTATTTTGGTTATTTTTTCTCCTAAATTTCTAACGAAACTTTATATTAAAAAATATTATTAAGTTTTATGGATATGTGAAGCTTATATCATCTTATTTGATCATAATTATCAATTATGAATACTGAACTAAATCCATTTAAAGTTGAATTACAATTTTATTAAAATATTCTTAAAATACTTGATGAAAAAGCGATGTCATGCTTAAGATTAGGGGTGCTTATCGAGTTAATCGATTGTGAGTTGGGTTGTGCTCGATTTGTGTTCATTAAAAAAATTTATTGCTCGACTCGACTCTTGCTCGTTAAGCTCGTTAAAATTTTGCTCGACTCGTGCTCTTTAAGCTCGTTAAGCTCACTGAAATTTTTATCTTATGTTTTAAATATAGGTAAAATCTACTAATATTATAAATTAATAGAATAGCCATTTATCATGTTTTTATTATCTATTAGTAAATTAGTAATTTTTGAATTAAATAATTTTTTAAAATAACTACTAAAAAATTATAAAAAAATAATGAGTTGGTCGCGAACTTATCGAGTCAATTTGGACTTTGCTCGACTTATCTCGTTAAAGTCTCGAGTCAATCCGAATCAAACTTTTACCGAGTCGAGTTCGAGCTACTCACGAACTGCTCAACTCATTAAGCACCCGTACTTAAGATAGACAAGCAAATAGTTTTGAGGACACCATTTAGTTGCAAAATATCCATAGATGGGGCAAGCAAGTAGCATGAAAAGAGATGGATCCTATAATAGGAAAGCGAGTAATAAAAGCAACAAATATGTTCCAACTGCCGATAAAAATCTAGACACCGATTTCACAAATTAAATGAATTCGGCATAACAAACTAGGGCCTAATAGCGAGTGGCCAGGCTTAACAGGCAACTTATTATGCGCGTCTAAGTTGCCTAGGCCGTGATAAATCCGGAATGTCAAGGATTTACGGACGTACCTAAAAAAATACGGATCCATGGAGCATGGGAGCGCGGCATGTAGCGTGTAAGATGATGGATACAATTAATGTGATGTTTTCAGATCGTGGTTAAAAACTGTATGATGATCTGTTTGGCGTTTTTAAGTCCCATTTTAGGGAACAACAGTCCATTGGAAGGGGGTCCAAGCCAGCTTGGTTGTGTGTGGGGGACATTGAAGTTTCGGTGGTAGTGTTTGTGGACGTTGGGAGGCCCAGAAGGTCAGACTCAGACATCTCGATAGCTGAAAGTTGTGACTATGACCACAATTTATGATCATCTCTGTACCAACATTGGCCTATGAAAGTTCTTGGAAATTAAGTTAAAGGCTTATCAACCATCGGTCCGATGACAATGCCGCTTGGGGCCGAGAGCCTTGGATAGATGCTTTGAGGTTGATAAATTTGGACAGAGTGATGGTAGGTTATTTTATCTTACCTTGAAGATAGTCTATGATGGATTCTCAACACGTGCATTATGTAATTGTGGTGACATTTTACTGTCATGTTGTGTATCCTTGTTTGAATTTTAACATAATCGACAAAAGATTAAGATGTCACATGCTGCACTTTTCATTTATGTTGTTGACGGATCTAGAAATTAAAAAAATGGGATCCAAAATTTTAATATCCTATTCTAAAAAAATTTGAGTATGCAAATTTTCTTATTTTTTTCTATTCTTATTAACAAATTAAACTAAATTTAACACTTCTCTTAAAAAAATGAATATACAATAACTCTCCTACGGAGTCATCCTACGGAGTCATGTACATCTGCCCCTGGCACAACTCTAGAGATGCATTGAATCAAGACGAGGCCTGTTTTTCATTTTTGAAGAAACATGCAAACGACATTTTTAATTAAAGTAGTGGGACAGCAATAAATCTTCTAACCAGTTCTAGTTGCAACGAGGACGTCATAGCTCATTGACATCAGTAAACTACCTATTTGCTCACTAATTATTTTTTTAAATCATAACTAATGTTACATTTTGTTTTTATTTATCACCCTCCGTTTAAAAAATAACAGTAATGCTAATGTGTCATACCTAGATAATGCTAAATCAACATTAAAAAAATAATAAAAAATGTCACATGAACATCACAATTAAATTTTGAACAACGAATGACAAAAACAAAAACTGTGTAATAGCTGGACGTACCGAATAGATAATAAACAGTTGTATGTATAAAAGAAAACATAGAGTACAAACATTCCATGCAAAAATAAGCCAAAAACTTATCGATGTTCTACATTTTGTCCTATTGATTAGAATGTGTTTAAGTTTGTTTTGATATGGACATGAATACATTCCTTGATTTCCTTTTAGTATTTGTCCGTTTGATGCCTTCAGCTTGAGTGCAGTTTTGTTGGAGTTATATTATTTGTTTCTGGAAAGCTATGTAATCATAATGCTGTTCTTCAATGTCTATATTTAACTTGTAAGTGTGTTATTGGGCTTCTACTGCCATGGGAAAGTCAAGCAGACGTTGAAAGTAAGGGAGAGGGGTTTACTGATTCTTTTTATGAAGGAAAACTTTCATTTATCAGACATTTTTCTTTGACAAATTCTGAATTTAATCCTAATTCTAGGACAGGGAAGAGAACTCTAAGGAAAAAAAGAGAGTGTTCGTAAACGTCTTAATGAATCTAAAACTCATGACTTAAGGAGATATAAGATAACAAAGATAAGCAGTTGCTCAAGTTATCAGACAAATTAAAAGTGTCTTATAATGCAAGCAAATTAAAATTCAATAACAGTATTGTAAGTTTTAAAAATTTTGTGACCAATATGAAATTTGGTATAAATTTAGGGTCTCTTTGTAGAGTTTACCCGTAATTAAATCATTTTATAACAACTAAATAAAAATATTTTCCAAAGAATAAATTACATAAAACAAATAAATACCCAGACCTGCTTTATCCATAATACTTAAGGCAGACAGTCCTTTTACCATTTTAGACTAACAGTCTTTCTCTAATTCAAGGGTATTATGGTCCATTCATATTATTTTCGTGCCCTAACGCCGACGTTTCGCCAAACACACAACAGCAGAAGATATAAACAATAACCCCGAGACATTTCCAGGTTTTTTTTTTCATTTCCAAATTTTTATCCATAATAGGGGTTTGAGTTTCTTCATTTGGTGTTTGATTTTATTAGAGATCGGCGAGGGGTTTCAGTTGCAAGCTATTGGCAATGGGAGTGCCAGCGTTCTACAGATGGTTAGCGGAGAAGTATCCGCTGATTGTGGTGGACGTTATAGAGGAAGAACCGGTGGTTATCGACGGCGTCTCCATTCCGGTTGATACCAGTAAACCCAATCCAAATAAACTCGAGTACGATAATCTTTATCTCGACATGAACGGGATTATCCATCCTTGTTTCCACCCCGAAGACAGGGTAACCCTCTCAACACATTGAAATTCCATCGTTTCTAGTTTTGTATTTCGTTGAATTTTTCAGAATTAATGTAATCTGGCTTATTTGATGTCTTATGCAGCCTTCACCAACAACTTTTGATGAAGTTTTTCAATGCATATTTGATTACATTGATAGATTGTTTGTTATGGTCCGTCCTAGAAAGCTTTTGTATATGGCTATTGGTAAGTAGTGTTTATTTTAGGTTGAAAGATGTATTTTTGATACGCAGATGAAGTGTATGTATGTTTAGCTGATGATACTAACATTTTTTCTGGAAACATACGGTAGATGGCGTTGCCCCTCGTGCTAAAATGAATCAACAGCGATCTAGGCGATTTAGAGCAGCAAAAGATGCTGCAGAGGCGGTATGTCATCTCATCTCTTTTTGGGTATACATGTGTGTATATTTTTGGTATTGATATTTCACATTCTCCCACACTTTAATGATAGAAATGGTTGGAAAAAAAGCAGACTGTTTGGTAATAATATTGTTCTTGTTAACTTTCCTTCTGCAGGCAGGTGAAGAAGCACTACTGCGAGAGGAGTTTGAGAGGGAGGGCAGAAGACTTCCTCCTAAAGAGGAATCTCAGCTTTTTGATTCTAATGTTATTACACCTGGCACTCCATTTATGGGTGTTCTGTCAATTGCTTTGCAGTACTATATCCACCTTAGATTAAATTATGACCCTGGGTGGAAAAATATCAAGGTAGTATCAAATATTATGGTACCTAGTCTTTTTCACTTTTTCCTTCTTTCTTTTGGCATGGTGCAGAATGTTAGCATTTCTCTTACTTTCATCTCTTTGAAGGTTATTCTATCTGATGCAAATGTTCCTGGTGAAGGAGAACATAAAATTATGTCATATATACGTCTCCAAAGAAACCTTCCTGGTTTTGATCCAAACACACGCCATTGCCTATATGGTTTGGTATATCTCTCCTCTATTTCCATTGCGGGTTTCGGTTTTTATTTAAATTTTATGCTCGTGTTCTGTTTATTTTCTCTGGCGTTCATTAGTGGACTAAAATTGTGCACTCTGCTAATTTTCGACACTTGACAGGATGCTGATTTAATAATGTTGGCCTTGGCCACTCATGAAGTTCACTTTTCAATCCTTCGAGAGGTTTTTATTTTTTTTAACTTGCATATATCTGTTACCTATTTTTTTTATCAATTGCCTGAAAATTTAAATGTTTTATATGATCTGCTTCTCTTTCAATTTTTAACTTTTATATGAGGTTTACTATTTTACTCATTTATATGAACAAGTGGATGCTACAAGTCTTGGAAGGATGTTTTTAGTATTCTATTATCATGTTCCCACTCTGCCCAAAAGTAACAGGGTTTATGGAATATTGACAGATTGTCTTCACCCCTGGACAAGATAAATGCTTCCTATGTGGTCAGATGGGCCATGTAGCGGCAAATTGTGAAGGAAAGGCAAAGCGGAAGGATGGGGAATTTGATGAGAAAGCTGATGGAAAAGATGTAGCCAGAAAGCCATACCAGGTTACTTTTCAATTGAATTCACAGTTGAAATGTTGATAATGAAATCTTTGGATAAATTTAATGTTATCTGATACATCTTTGTAGTTTCTGAACATATGGACACTTAGGGAGTACCTGGAATATGAGATGAGAATCCCTAATCCTCCTTTTGATATTGACTTGGAACGCATAGTGGACGACTTTATATTCATATGCTTCTTTGTTGGCAACGATTTCTTACCTCATATGCCTACACTAGAGATTCGTGAGGTTTGTATAACATTGAAGTAATTATTCTACCGTTGGACCATACTTTTGTGTTAGAATCTTTTTAATTGGTGGCCTTCCCTTTTTCAATTTGTTATTTTACAGGGTGCAATCAACTTGTTAATGGCAGTTTACAAGAAGGAATTCAGGTCGTTTGGTGGTTATTTGACTGATGGATGCAAGGTGCCTGTTATTCTTATTTGTATTGGCTGCGAATTATTCTAATCATCATATTATCTTCTAAAAAAAATGCTTTTGAATGCGTGATTTTTATTTCAGCCAAATTTGAGCAGGGTAGAGCATTTTATCCAAGCCGTGGGATCCTATGAAGATAAAATATTCCAGAAAAGAGCACGTTTGCATCAGGTTTGTTTTGAGTCTAGGATCAATATGATTCTCTTTAACTAAAGCAAAAAATTAGTTATGTTTACCTTTTCTCCATAATTCAAATTATTCTGGAAAACTTGCACGTGGTCTTGTTTCAATTTTCATTTAGAAGGTTGGACATTGCCTTGTGATTCTTCTGTCTCTATTACATGCTGCATGTAGTATTTATTATCTGTTCAATCTTACAGTGCTCGTGCAAAGGGGTTCCACTATCACCCTACTCTTTAAAATGTTAACCTGTCTATTATTCTTTGGTGGCAAGATTGCCTTTGTGTAATTGGATAGCTTCCTGAGTTAAGGGTGCAACAACACCTGCTATTTGCTCATTTAGTTGTTTTAAAGTTTCTATGGGCATACATGCAACTTAAAATAACCATCTGACTTGAGGATTCTTGAAATGAATGTATTACATATGAGCACAAATCTTTCTTTTAGCTGGTAAAAGAATTCAGTAGTAATAAGTTCTATGCTTGTATCGTATAGCGTCAAGCAGAGAGAATCAAACGAGAAAAAGGACAAGCTAGAAGAGGAGATGATGCACAACCTGAAGTTCAACCTGATTCTTTGGTTCCAGTTTCTAGATTTCATGGTTCTCGTCTTGCCTCTGGCCCTTCACCTGCTCCATTTCAGCAAACAATGGAGTCTAGTGGTAATGGATCCTCTGGTCGGCCACAAAAAGTGCGGCGTTTATCATCAGGGGCCACTATTGGTGCTGCCATTGTTGAAGCAGAAGATATTATTGAAACAAATGTATGTTTTCCTGCTCAGGAAAGGCACTTTAATATAAATCTGACTCCTTCAGCCATTCTTTTGGACTCATATTCCATGGGCTAACCTATGATTTGGTATGATGAGCCTTGCTGGCGAGGAGTTAAGAGAGTATTAGTGATCAGAGTATATTTTTTTACTGGACAACACTTTTATGCTGTTTCTTTCTTTCTTTCCACTGCTATCAGGCACATGAGAACAAAGAAGAACTGAAAGCAAAACTTAAAGAGTTGATCCGTGAAAAATCTGATGTTTTTAACTCCCAAAATCACGAGGAAGATAAGGTTTGAATATATTCTTAAGCAATTTATGATTTCGTTTTTCTACTAATATTTTGGGTGTAGACAGTTGTTAGATCAAGAACTCTGGTTTGATATATACATATCTCAACCAAGTGGAATACTTTTCTGTCTCTCTCTTTTCTCATAATTTCATTGCCATTTTAGTTCATGACTCAGGTATTTTAGCTGTCATATGGTTGTTTGCTCTTGTCAGATTAAACTGGGAGAGCCAGGGTGGAAAGAAAGGTATTATAAAGAAAAGTTTTCAGCAGAAACTCCAGAAGAAATGGAAGAAATACGGAAAGATGTTGTGAGTTAATGAATCTCTATGAAGATTTTGGCAATTATATTTTTTAAATTATCCATTTAAAATGGTCCTTCATTTACGTAGGTTTTGAAGTTCACAGAAGGTTTATGTTGGGTCATGCATTATTATTATGAAGGTGTTTGTTCATGGCGGTGGTGAGTTTCTTTTACTTACTTTTTCTATAATTTGTTCATGGAAGTTATGTATTTTCTTATTTGTGCTTAGAATCAGTCATCGCATTCCCTTTTGGATATATCTGAGTTGCCTTTTAAGCCTTATTTTGGCTTTATTTTGGTGAGAATGGTCTGTTGATCAGGAGCTCATCTTTCTGCTTTAATAGACATTCTTTGCGTTGTCATTGTGCTGCCACTGAATTTTGTGTTTCAGGTTTTATCCTTATCATTATGCTCCCTTTGCATCTGATTTTAAGGATCTTGGCCAGCTAGATATTCATTTTGAGATAGGTTCCCCTTTCAAGCCATTCAATCAGTTATTGGGTGTTTTTCCTGCTGCTAGGTACTGTCACCTGTTTCCACTTTGTTCTCCTTGTAAGTTTTTGAGTCAGAATGATAATATATATTTCTTTTGCAGTTCCCATGCACTTCCCATAGAATATAGGAAGTTGATGACTGATCCGAATTCACCCATTATTGATTTTTATCCAACCGGTATGCAATTTGCTAAACAAGCATGCTTTATATTTTTTTCTTCTCTTAAGATCTGAAATTTGAACTTGCTCTTTCTTATCAGATTTTGAAGTTGACATGAATGGAAAGCGATATTCATGGCAGGTAGGTTCATCTTTCACTCTCATTTGGTTTGGTTTCGTATTCCAAGTGGTTGATGGTCTTCTTTATTCAACTGGAAAGTCAATAATCTATTTGTTGTCGCTTTCTGAAGGGTATTGCAAAGCTGCCTTTTATTGATGAAGAGCGCCTTCTTGCTGAGGTTGCAAAAATAGAACATACTTTGACGGTATGGCTCTTTATTGAATTCATCATTTCATGTGCTCCTTACACTTTCACCTTTCATTATGAGTCATCATGATCTTGCCGGATATTGTTTAGCTGTCTTTCAAAAGCTACATTCTCATGCAGGGGGAAGAAGCACAGAGAAACAGTACAATGTATGACATGCTTTTTGTGGCAGCTTCACACCGTCTCTCAGAGCAAATCTTTTCTCTTGACAATCGTTGTAAACAATTGCCAGAAAGGCAACGGATTGAAGTCGAGGAGGAAGTCAAACCTGATTTGAGGTCGGATATAATCTAGAATTCAAGCTGTCTTGACTACTTTCCATGCTAGTTGCCTTTAAGACATGTCCCACTTTTTTTTCTGATTTATTTAGGTCTGCATGCAGTGACGGGATGAATGGTTACATATCCCCTTGTGCTGGAGAAACACAGCCTCCTATTTTCAGGTCTCCAATCAAGGACATGGAAGATATTTTGGCCAATGAAGTCATGTAAGTTTCAATTATTGATGCTTTATTTATTTATCGTTGATATGCATGGAGCAGATTATTAAATGAAGATACATTAATTATCTTTTGGACGCCTTCTTTACAGATGTTGTATATATAGACTCCCCAAAGCTCATAAGCATATCACCCATCCTCCACCAGGAGTTGCTTTCCCTCCTAAGGTATGTAGCAGCTGTAGTTCTCTGCTTAATGATAGCTGTAATTGTTTTTTAGTTTCTTTTAAAGTACTGCTGTATAACCTATAAGGTTTTGCCTGTTCGATAATAGTAAATTTTAATTTTTGAAAATTCCTTATTCCACGAGGGGAAAATTTATTTAAGATTTAAGTTTTTGAAGAATCAAATAATTTTAACATTTTCAACTTCAAGTGATAAATAACTATTTACTTATCATTTTCAGTACTTTAATTTTAATATTTTTTTGAAAATTCCTTAATCCCCAAGGGAAGATTTTATTTCAGATTTAAGTTTTTGGAGAATAAAATAAGTTTAATATTTTCAACATTAAGTGATAAGTAAAAATTAAAACTGGTGTTATCAAACACATTAAAAAGTCGAGTGTTGAAAAATTCTTTTTCAATGAAATGAAAATTTAAAATGGTCTAACCCAATATTGTAGCCGTAGTTAATTTTCTGAATTTGTAAATATGAGATATGACCAATAGAAACAGCCGAGTTTTGTTTGCACCAGCTTAAACATATTCCTCTAAGTTTCCTGCTAACCAAACTCAAGGACTCCTAGATAGCATCACTGGGGTCATTCTGGAAAAATTGTCTCCTTGTGCTTGTGTGCAATATCCTCAAAATGACATGCCATAAGCAAATTTTAGTATAAAAACAATGTTATGCTTATTCTATCCACACACACCCACCTCAGAAAAAAAAAGAGGAAAAGCAATTAGGATAATTTGTGTATGAGCAAGCTTTGCTTACTTTACGAACGGAGGGAAAACATGTTTGTCAAGATTGATTAAGCCAGAAGATTTCTATTGATATTTTTCAACATTGTGCTTCACAGATGGTGCAATTCAGTGATTTAAAACCCGAACCTGTTTTATGGCATGAAGATTCTGGGAGGAGACCTTGGGATGGAAAGCAGGTTGCAGCTGGTCATCATACGGTTAGGTCTGTATTTAAAAGATTGTATATTTGTTTCTGAAGTTTCCCTTTTTTCTTGCCATAGTGCATGTCATTCGCTGCTAGAATACATTTAGTACCTATTTAACATGTTTTGCCTTTTCCTTTCAGGCGTAACCTGTCAGGATCTATTTCTGGCCATAAGCTCGGGGATGCGTCACACAGACTTATTACTAATAGCTTACAGGTGAAGATGGATCGTAATGGGTTCAACAATAATATGCAGGCTCCTCCATCATTATATGCCGGTGGTCCCTATAATAACCAACCGGTCTATTCCCATGTAAATTATGGGTTTCATAACCAGGGACAGTCTGGTATGGTTCCTAGACAAGATTATCCTGGAGTGGGTCACCAATTTTCTCATAATCCACCTTCACAACATCCAAATTCCCACAGCTACCATAACTACCAAATAAATAACCAAGTAGTTGCCAATAACATGCACTACCCTCCAAGACATCATCAGAGTGGTGGATCGAGGCACATTCCTATTGCACAAATGTCAACTGAGGCTGATATATACCCTTCTCATCCAGGCCGTTACGATGGCAACCGCCGGTACCAGGGACCTGAAAACAGTAGCTGCTATCAGCAGTGGGGTGGTAGAATGGTTCCCCAGGCCGACCAAAATGTTTCTGGAGGGTATGGCTTCTATCAACAGGGTGGATTTAACCAGGATTTCCATAGAGGGCATGACCAGCAGCAACAAAGAGGTATCCAATCACAACACCACCATCATAGGGGAGAGTATGAAGAAAGAGGAAGCCAGCCATACAGGGACAATCAACAGTATTGTGGCGGCAACCAACAGCAAAGGGGGGATAATCAACAACGGAGAGGAAACCTGTATTCAGCATTAGACAGGAGAGGTCATTGGAGGCCCCCCAACCACTGAAAGGTCCTCTAACCGCTATTCTCTAGTTCGATGTTTGTTGTACAATACTTGTGCAAGTGGCTAGGTCGATAATTGTTGTTGAGCATTGTATAATGTTGCTTTGTTTTCTTTGTTTACTTGTCTTCTTGCCTAGATTTTTCCTCCTGTTAGATTGTACCCTTATAAACTTCCAAGGTGGAGGTTTTTTACTCCATTTTGGTGATTTCGCTTCTTTTATAAGTGACACTGTACTAATAAATGTCTTCAATAATATTGGTCTTTATTATGTTTAAGTACTTTTTGTGTGAAATAATTAAAAAAGTGTCTTTATATTTTAGAAGTTACTGAAATGATTAAATTCGATTTGAATATCTTGTAAGCAGAGAAAACGGTGTTTTGTTTTATTTTTTGCAGTGGAGAATAACCATAATATGCCCAAGATTGGAATATATTTAACCATAACAGTGCCTTCTGCCATCTTCTGAGTCTTGTTGCAGCATACATCCGCCATACCATACTGAAGAAAGCTGCCTTAAGGTTCTCGAGTATAAGAATTTTGTGTCATCTGTTAATCAACGGCGTTAGTGTATCAATATAGCCTTAAAATGATTTGTTATCTATAAATTATAGATATTTAGTTTTGGCTACCAATATTTGATCAGTTATTAGGAATAGTTAAGCCTAAATGACATCGTTAAATTTAATGTCCCTTGTTAGATCAATTTTGTTTAGCTACAATCAAAATGTAAGGCTCCTTAATTAAAGATCCAAAACTGCTTTTTGTGTTTGGAGAAATAGGAGGGTAAATCTTAAACTGAAACATTGATTAACAAGTTAATTATTAAGCCCTACGTATAAAGGAAAACACAACTATATTGATATTGTTTTATGAAGAGAATATATTATTCTTAATTGTTTATGAAACTTGCAAAAATGTGGAGAAAGTCATGATTGTTCCACTGCTTAGGTAGTTTAAAAGATGAAAGTAGACACAATCATGTTTGTCTAAACCCCCCTCTTCACTCTTGTTTTCACATAATGGGTATTTCTTCTCCCACTGTTTCTTTGACTTGCTTTTCCGACTGGTTCATGTACAGAGGATAAAAAAAACTGAATATTAGCTTGTTAGGACCACAGATTGGTTGCCTTAGAAATGCCTAAAAATCTGACTTGTTTAGCACTAGGCAAACTTACCTAATCAATGAATCATAGCTTTTTTTTAATAAGGCCGCCAAGAACATAGTACTAGCATTTTGGCATGTCGGAGAGATTTTGAGATCAACACAGTAAAAGTGAATAATTACAAACCACCCCACTAATGTTAAAGTCTTAGTTAAAACCCTTTTTAAAGGGTTTGGGGGGTTTTATTCTCTTTTTGATGGGACAACGAGGGTCACTGCTCATCCTTTTTGCATCTTAATCTTTCCAAGCACATTCATGCATGGATTAATTGCTTATGCTTCAGTTCATACATGGTAAACACAGCCATACGCACACACATATACATAACGACAAGTGAGTGAGGCAAAATACAAAAATGATTGGGCACATGGTGTTCGCCGATCACCTTGAGACTTCCAAAATCTCCAACTTTTTGAAACCTTCACAATGAATCGCACACATGATCTGGAAAGTGGCAAATCGAAACCCTAAGAGTGAGGACTACAAATTTACAATGTTGGTTCAGAGTGAAACCCTCAACCCACAGTACTTTTCCTTCTGAACTGCGAATGAGGCTCTTACATCGTTTCCGCAAGTTCATCATGCGGCTCGTGTTCTTCCCTTTCATCCGGTGGATCTTCTGGCAAGTCAAGTGTGGCTTCCAAGCAAAACAACAGCGACAGGTTTGATCCGCCCAAGATTTCATGCAGCTCTTATTACTCTTCCCACTCCCATTACACCCGAGGCCATGCCGACTGCATTGAGTTTTCAACAAGTCATCACAAGAGGGGTTTTTGGAGGGTGGAAAATCTGATGTTTGGGTTTAATATTTCATCATCACATATATATGATAGGCCATTGTGTGCTGCTGCTTTTAGTTTGTGTCGAAAATCTTATGTTTGGGTCATGCTTATTTTCTCGTCTTTTTCTTTTTTTCTTTGAAGTTTATTTTTATTAATGCATGGCAGCTTTATTGAACGAATTAGATCAGTATCTTCCTTCGTGGGTTACGAATCTATACCATGGAAAGAGTCATTGGAAAAACCTGGATTTAGTGTTTGTTCTTTGTTTGTACATTGTGAATATCTTCACATGAAAAAAGGTTTTTTTTGTTGTGTTGTTAATTTGATTCCCATCAGGGTTCTTGAGGTTTCCAGTCCAAGCTCATGAGATGAATAAAAGAGGTATAATCTGTCCAAATTTGCCGAGAAAATGAAATGATTTATGTGAACTTTATTACAATTGTTAAAAACATCACATCCTTCTTGTACCTTGAACTTAAATCCTCGGAAAAAGTATCATGCAGGATCTACGAAATTATGGTTTAATTTTTCTTGGAAAATAATCTTCCGATCAAAGGGATCTATGGCTTCCTCTTTTTCTTTACTTGTAAAGATTGTCTCTCGAGTTTTTCCACACCATGTGGATGGGTAACTCGAGTCAAACAAGGTTGATTTGCGAAGGTCACGTATCTTTTCTAAACTCGGTTCCTTCTTCATACTAGCTGAGCCTGGGGCAATCTTGACATCTTCCATCTCGAACTCCATCATTTGTCTACGATTTCTCCTTCATTCATTTGCTCTAATTCCCTCTTTGTTTCTTTCAGGCTTCTCATTAAGAGCACACAGGCAATTCGCCATTACCATACTCTTTCTCTAGCCTTTTCAAGCTCAGTGGTAACAGTTCCAAGTCTGGAAGGACCCTTCTCACCATGTATCTGTCACAAAATAAACACAGTAAACTAACAGTTCCAGATGAATCCAGTTGATGATATATGGATATCTTCAGGAAACTGAAGACAAAATAGGTGCTTGCTTGCTTGACGAATAATCCCCATAACACTTTCATTAGGCCACAAAAAAAGCAACAAATAAAGTAATGAAGAAGAGGCTACCTGTCCTTGAGGTTGGTGGTGAGTTTGAGCAGCTAAAACTGAGTGACCGAACAAAGGCGACGGCTTCTTTAACAGGGTTGAATGGTGCAGTGGTATAGATTTCAGCCCTATCCATCATCACAAGTCCTCCTTCACAGTCCATGCTGATATTGGGAGAAATGAAGATGGAAATAAGTTGAGACATTTGGGAAGGGAAGGGAAGGGAGGTTGGTTGCTTGGCGTCCACTTCAGTGGAATATTCTATGGCTACGCCTGTTTTGTTTGGAGCAAGAGAGGGATTTTTTTTACTACCGGTATTTGATTTATTGATCGATTAATCCAGATTGAATACTCCCAATTTAGTTTACTTCATTCGTAATCATTAAGATTCGAATTTCTAACCTTGTTTAAGGAACCTAATAATTCATCTCACTAGACCAACTGATTTTTTGTAAGAGATGAACTCTTTAATTATTCCCAACAGATCAAAGTACCCCCATTTATATTTCACAGTTTCGGTTCGAGGCCCCTCCTCTACAATTCTTCATCATCCCTCAACCCCTAATTTTATAAGTTTATATTCACAACCATAAATCATAGCATAATAAAATATTTTCATATAATATTCAACATAAAGACCGATGTAATGTTAAAAAACATAATTGAATAAACTCGAATAAAAGATAAATACGAACATATTTAACTACATCGACAAATGATTCACAAAAGGGATCAAGCTAAAGACTACTAACATACTGTAAATCAAAATCGAGTGACGTGAGAAAACTATCTACAAACGCAAATCACTTCCAAAGGTCCAAAGAAAGGAAAATCAATATGATAGCAAACAAACATCATCTTGATCAGTCGCGGCAATGTTAAATCTAACTCTGAGAAAATATAAACGAAAATAAGACCAAGAACATACCAAAAAGTAGGGAGAAACAATAGATAAAAGAAAGAAGATAAAGAAAATATAATATTATTAAATATTAAAAAAAATCAAAGATACAATATAATTAAATAAAAGAAAAATAATAAATATCGATTATCGATTATTAATATTAAAATTCGTAATGTTACCGATATGAAAGATAAGGAAGAAAAGAAACTAAGTGGTTGTTTGTTTGGCTCTTAATGGAATCATTCAGCGCTGAATGCTGAACGGTTCAACATTCAGCGCATTTGTTTCGCACCTCTGAATGATTCAGTGCTGACTGATTCAGCAAAACAATGTTGAATGATTCAGCACAGAAATACATTCTGAATGATTCAGAGCCATTAACAGCATGTCACATTCAGAGCTAATTCATACAGAGCCGCTGAATCATTCAGCATTTGAATCATTCAGCGCTTAATCATTCTGAAATAAACAAACAACTCCTAAGAGACATAAATAAAAAAACGAAAATTAGGACGTCTTCATTTGGTAGAAGTTTGTTTGTTTTTCAAGAGGAAGGATATCATAGTATTTTTTAAAAATAATTAAAGTGATAATAAAATTATTAAAAATATTGTTAATATTAATTGTATTTGTTGCCCAAACATTAGTATTGATAATATTAATTATATATGCACGAACTAATTTATTCAGGGTTAAAAGAATTCGAGCACCAATGGCTGCAACAAGGTGATTGAGCGTTCATTGTCAAATAGTTGAAAATATTTAAAACATATTTTAATTTATAATTAACTTAGCTTAATCAAATATATATATATATATATTGAGATTAGAAAAATATTAAAAAGAGTTTTTTATACAGAATGAAATTTGTTTATGCAGACATTGTAGATCCATAGAAGGCCGAGCTTTGGGTTAACGAACCCAAGTGACAGCCCAAAAAGCGAAACGGTATTGTACGTCATATTATCAACCCTATCATTCCCTTTACAACACGCCAAAATCAGACCGTTGAACTCTTTTCAAATTGCAACGATTTGAAATTCTCTCTCAATTCAGATCAAAAGAGAAAAAAAAAAGATCTCTTAATTTTCTTCCCGTCATTGTAATTCGACTATCAAGAAGGCCACAAATGGAGCTAAAACGCGGTCTCAACACTTATAGGGCGTCAGAAGTGGGATAAAGTCTTTGAGGGTTTAGTTAAGATGCTTAAAACCAGCAACAACAGCTTGAAACTTTGGCTAAAGAAAGAGATTCTCGAAGATCGGATTAAGATGCAATATGAACGGTGGGTCTCTGATGTTCGCCTTATGAAGACGCATTCTCAGGCAAGACTTCTCGATTTAGGGTTTTGACTTTTT